CAATCTTATGGCTGAAAAAGCGAGCTGCGGACTTCATCTGCCACCAGCAGGTAATTTAATTTTACAGGTCAAGGCAAAGTGGATTTTTATCTTGTTTGAGTTTCTCAAAATATATATGGATTTCTTGTTAAAGCTTTGAGGAGGGCGGGGTGTGGGTGGGAAAATCAATCCGAGCAGCAAACGCATCGCTTTTGATTTTTTTTCTCAACAGAATCATTTCATTTCAATGAGTTTCAGATGGCGGGATGTTGTTACAAGTCAAGTATTTCTTTTCTTTTAGTCCAGTTAGGCTTACTGCAAACAGATTTGTGATCTCTTGCGATGTTTCCATTCCGTTTAAGCAAAATCGATGAAATGAACGATTTAATAAAATAATACTTCTTTGGGAGACAAGTCTGGTATTACCACAGACTTGTCGATGTGGTTTTCTCGAGCAATAATATTAGAATTGATGGACCATTTACTGGAATAATAATAATAATAATAATAATAATAATAATAATAATAATAATAATAATCTCTTTTATTTATTAAACATGAAACTCAGTCAACTGAACATTCAAAAATGCATCACAAATACCACTGACTGGTGGGTTGCTGCCAGCATCCTAGGTATCAACCAAGTATCTTCTTAAGATGTACGATGTTCCAAGTAGCACAGTTTTTTGCAGTTCCGCTGGTGTTATTGCAGGAAGCTGCAATTTGTTGATGTGTTTTGTAAAATTCTTGGACATGGTACCAAGTGCCCCGATGACAATGGGTATCACGGTATCATGGTTACATGTTTCATCCATAGCCGTGTAGTTTCGATAGTCAGGTTGCGATATTTCATGATTTTTTCCAATTCTTTTTCTTCGACTCTGGCATCTCCTGGTACCGCGATGTCAATAAATTGTACGTTTTGGTTTTCAACAACTGTGATATCTGGCGTGTTGTGTTCCAAGTGACGATCCGTCTGTATTCGAAAGTCCCACAAGGATCTTTACCTTCTCATTTTCTATAACTTTTTCCACTTTATGTTCCCATGACTTTTTGGATACAGGAAAGTCGTATTTTTTACATAATGACCAGTGGATTAATTTAGCAACTCGTGTCTAGCTTTGTAATCATTTTGTGCGATTTTGCTGCATTTACATATTAAATGTGAAACAGTTTCGACTTCGTTGTTGCAAAATCAGCAGTTTGGATTGTTGGTGGATTTTTGTATCTTTGCTTTCATGACATTAGTTTGTAGTGCTTATTATTGTTATTGTAATTGTTGTTGTTATTATTATTATTATTGGTTAATCTTTAGTGAGATTCACAGCCTTTGAGGCTGGTTAATAGCTCAGCAGCTCAAGTCCTAACTAAGGACCTAGGAACTGTTAAGGTATCGTCGGAGGATGTAAGCTGTTCCGACTAAGATGGTTTTTTGTACAGCCAAAATGTTCAAGTCTGGTAAATTTAGAATTTCTAAATAGCGGGGTAGCCCTTTGGGTATTGCTCCGAGGGTTCCAATTACAATCGGGACAACACACAATTTCTTTTTCCACAGTCGCTCAACTTCAATTTGCACGTCCCGGTACTTTGTGATTCTTTCTTTCTTTCTTTCTTTCTTTCTTTCTTTCTTTCTTTCTTTCTTTCTTTCTTTCTTTCTTTCTTTCTTTCTTTCTTTCTTTCTTTCTTTCTTTTTCTTTCTTCCTTCCTTCCTTCCTTCCTTCCTTCCTTCCTTCCTTCCTTTCCTTCCTTCTTCTTCTTCTTCTTCTTCTTCTTCTTCTTCTTATTATTATTATTATTATTATTATTATTATTATTATTATTATTATTATTATTATTATTTTGTGGGTTACTCAGTAGTCTCTGAACTTGGTTGTTTCCTTGCCAAGATTTCATTACCTAACTACCATTGCTAGAAAGGATGATATTACTTAGTTTGGTAATGAAATATCGGCAAGAAAACAACCAAGCTCAAAGAGCACCAAAGAGCACATTCCTCCTCCTCCTCCTCTAAACACTTTTAGCACATTCACTTTTAGCACTGATGATATTACCTACTTGGGTAATAAAACATATACAAAGGAAAAAAAAAAAAAACAAAGCTCAGAGATCAGAAAGGATTTCACATTTCAACCATGACCTCCAAATATTATTTTCTGTCGGTATTATTATAATTTATCTCCCAGTCTAACCGTCCTGGAATTTTTGAAGGAACCTTTCAAACTACAAGATGGGAGCCACCACAGAGAAGGCCCTTCTTCTTGGTCTCAAAAATGGACTTCCTTAAGAGAGGGGATCCATATCATCCTCTGCCTGCCGCATCCGGCCCTTCTTCTTGGTTTCACCAGATGGTGAGATTCACTTACTTACCCTACTAGTTCGCAAATGTGAGCGCGCTTGTGCGCGAGCTAGCTCCGCTCGCATGTGTCTTGTTCGCACATGTGCAGTAGGCGCACATTACATCAGGTCGGGTTGGAGGAGCCTCCTACCGTCACCGCTACTGGTTCACAAGATCTGGAGACAACCGGGTGAATCCCACCACTGTCTACATTCTGGTGGGTGAAGTGTATGTAACTGGAAAAATATGGTCCTTCAAACTACAAGGAGGGAGCCACCACAGAGAAGGCCCTTCTTCTTGGTCTCACCAGATGAACTTTCTTAAGAGAGGAAATCCTTAACATACGCTACCTCTACATTCAGTGGTGGGATTCACTTACTTACCCTCCTGGTTCGCAAATGTGAGCTCGCACCACTCGCACGTGCCTTGTCTGCACATGTGCAGTAGGTGCACATTACGTCAGGTCGAGTGGGCGGAGCCTCCCGCCATCGCCGCTACCGGTTTGCGAGAACCGGCTGAATCCCACCACTGTCTACATTCTGGTGGGTTGGGTAGATATAACTGGGGGAAAAAAACCAGCCCTTCCAATAATAATGTTAGCATTTTCTCTATATTGTTTGCCTTATGCTCTCAAGATAAGGTATTATTATACAAGGCCAACTTTCTGTCCTTAGAGATATTGATTATGAAGCTTACATTGGGATCACAAGTTATCAGATGGAGCGATTTTCCAAAGCTGCAGGTTTTTATACTCCTTTCTACTTGCTATTAAAGTGAAGAAGATACAGCATACAAAGGCAACGGGGCCTCTTCTAGCAACTCGGTTATTAAAATCAATTGCAAAAAAAAATGTTGGCAAAATGCAATTTAAAGAGTCAGCATAATAAATAAATTTTCAGAGGCACAAGGATGACAATTGTATAATGAAATCCGTTTTCAGAAAGATTACAAAGCTCTGCGAAACCATGAGGGGAAAAAAAAAGCTTTAGAGGTTTGACATATTTAAAGGTAATATGAATGCAGGGAGGAAGAGAGAGAGAAAGAAAAAAGAGAAGAAAAAAACAACAACCCCTGATTGCATGCTTTTGAACTTCCCGACAGACAGGTACGGAGTTCAACCCAAATGAAACATGTAAGCTACACACCAGATATTCATAATAAACTCGGCAAGCTGTGGCTTAATTGGAAAGAAACATAAGCAAGGAAGCTTATTCAATATATTTTTTTTAAGTGGAAAAGCTGTCTTCCAAGACAATGTCCAAGAGGAACACAAATACCATCACGTCAACCAACGGGGCATCTCTGACAGAGAAAGGATGGAATTAAATGTTAAATAGCAAGTTGAAAGATAGAGATGAAAGCAAGTTGGGGAAACAGAAGGAAAAAAAAAAGAAAGAAAGAAAGGAAAGAAAGAAAAAAGAAAAGAAAGAATGAAAGAAAGATGATAGATAGTAAAGAAAGAAAAGAAACAAAGAAGAAAAAAGAATGAATGAAAGAAAAAAGAATGAAAGAAAGCTGATAGATAGTAAAGAAAGAAAAGAAAAGAAACAAAGAAGAAAGAAAAAAGAATGAATGAAAGAAAAAAGAATGAAAGAAAGATAGTAAAGAAAGAAAGAAAAGAAGAAAAGAAATGAAGAAGGAAGGAAGAAAGGAAGGAAAGAAGGAAGGAAGGAAGGAAGGAAGGAAGGAAGAAAGAAAGAAAGAAAGAAAGAAAGAAAGAAAGAAAGAAAGAAAGAAAGAAAGAAAGAAAGAAAGAAAGAAGATAAAATCTAGAATGACTGTCAATTCCACTCTTTCATGGTCATGTTTCTACCAATTATATATCCTTGACAACTGCACTAAACATCAACCACTGAAAACAAAGAGAAAAAAGAAACCAGATAAAGTTATTATCTCTATTATATACGCATACTTAGATGTCATTATTTCAACTCAATATACATAAGTGTCTAAGGGAAATTCCCAAAGTTTGGGATTTTAAAAGTTTGGGGTTTTAAATTTGTCGGGGCCAAAATTATTTAATTTGATTTTATTCTATTTTTAAATTTTGTATTGTATGTGTTTTTATTGTTTGGCTGTGCACCGCCCTGAGTCCTTCGGGAGTAGGGCGGTATAGAAATCTAATAAAATAAAATAAATAAATAATAAATTGAAAAAAAATTAGAGACAAGCACATTATTCTTGGAAAGATTCCTTCTGTGTGTCACCTTGTGAGGCATTCCCGGACTTCGGAAACTATATGCCTAAAATTGGGGTAAATATGGTTTGTTCAACATTCCAAATCAGATTATCTTACTAAACCACTTACTATGAGCCTCAGTGGTGGGGTGGGGAAGGCCGTTTTCGCCCTCCCCAGGCTCCTAGAAAGCCTCTGGAGCCTGGGGAGGGCGAAAAACGGGCCTTCCTCACCCCACCAGAGGGCCTCCAGAGGCCCGGAAACAGCCTGTTTCCCGACTTCCGGTGGGCCTGGAAGGCCCGAAAATCAGCCGGCCGGTGCGCACATGTACGCTGCAGCTGAGCTAGGGCAATGCTTGCGTGCCCACCAATATGGCTCTGCGTGCCACCTGTGGCACGCGTGCCGTAAGGTCGTCATCACAGGTCTAGATGATGCGTATCCTTACAGCATCCCATAACACACATAACTGCTTTGTGGGGAGGGGCGCTATATAAGAAATTGGTTCCTTACTTTTTTGACGGTCTTGTCCGGTTCAAGGGCGATGTCTGGAATGTTGGCATCCACCATCAGAGAGAACAAGTTCAAAATCAAGTTGGAATATCTGTGGAGAAGAAAAGGCCAATTAAGAAATAAATACAAATTTGTGAAATGCAGAATATACAACCTTCCGCGGACCAAATTCACCACCTTTCTCAAAATCAGGAGGATCCTTTCTCCAGAAAAAAATGAATGTGATTGGTACGGCCAAGAAAAAAAAATGAGGTGAACAGAGAATACCGTATTTTTCGGACTATAAGGTGCACTGAACTATAAGACACACCTAAATTTACAGGAGGAAAACAAGAAAGAAAATATTTTTTGGCTTCCGCGAGTTGGATTTTCGCCCTCCAAGGCCCCCCAAAACACTGCAGTGCTCCACATGGCCCGTTTTTGGCAAAAATGGGCCCATTTTTGCCAAAAAACGGACCTGTTTTTTGGCTCCCAAACACTTTATGGCAAAAGCAAGCCCATTTTTGATGAAAACAGGCCATGCAAAGCAGTGATTCAGGGGGCCAGGGAGGAGGAAAATGTGATGCGCGGAGTGTTCGAGAGGCCAAAAATGCCCGTATTTGGTCTATAAGACACACCTAAATTTTCACCCACTTTTAGGGGAAAAAAGGTGTGTCTTATACTCTGAAAAATACGGCACTTTACAAAACAAAAACAACCAAAGATAGAATAACAGAACAACAGTGTGTCAGGGTTCCAAGTAATAAATCCATCGCATGCAAGAACTCTAAGGCAGGTAGATTCCTCAAAGAATAGCTTTATTCGAAATATCAAATTGGCACAGATCTGTGTTCTGTCCCCGTCTCACACACGCACCCTCACAGACAGGCAACAATTAAAGAACTCAGCCGACAACAGTTTATCCGGTATCAGAATTGGCAGCAACTCAGTGGCTGGCTGCCAGGTATTCTTTACTCACGAGGGGGGAGTTTCTCCCTTCATCCAGGAACAAAGCCAATACACAAAAATCAACAAAGTCCAGTAAATACAAAGAAGGTCGTCCAATATCTGTTTTTTGTTTGTCACAGAGCTGAACCAGCAACCACACCCTCTTTTATACCCTGTGGGGTGTGGTCCAGTGACTCAACCTAATCCCTGGCACGCCTCTTCTTCTGCTGCGCGCGCTTATCTCTGCGACGCTGCCGAGGATCCAGCCGAGACTCATCTCCCTCATTACTGTCCACCTCATTACTGTCCATTACTGCGTGGACGTGCTTGGCCCCAGGCCTATCTCTTGACTTTCTGAGGACACTGAAGGCATTGCCAGAGAGGAGGGTCCTGGAGAGGGAGGCCTTGCCAACTCCTCTCCTTCACTTTCAGAGTCCTCTCCTGCCGATAACACAGGCTCAGGTAACGGAGCCACAACAATCTGGTGAAAACCAACTCTGAGGGGCCCCTCAGTTTTCACCTGATTAAAAGTAAAAGTTTCCCCCTCCAATCCCAACCAATCAATCACATGGCCCAATCAATGCAGCATTCGCTGGTCTGGTAACTTTACTCCTCCTTTCTCCAACCACCTGTGGGAATATCCTTGGTTCCCAGGAGAAAGTATTTTATTTTGACTACACAACCCCAGCTATCTCTAATCGCCGCTCCCTCTCCCTTGCTCCAGTGTGGCAACACGGAAGCTCCAAGATGGCTTCGGCCCGGTCAGCTTCTGCGTTGACACAGAGTTGGAAGGGGCTTTGGAGGTCTTCTAGTCCAACCCTCTGCTCGGGAGACTCTCCACCATTTCAGATAAATGATTGTCTACTCTAGTCTCCTTTTGAAAATCTCCAGTGATGGACAACCCACAGCTTCTGAAGACCAAGCTGTTTCCATGGGTTGATTGCTCTCACCGTTAGGAAATTCCTCCTTAATTCTAAGTTGTTTCTCTCCCTGGTTAGTCTCCATCCATTGTTTCATGTTTTGCCTTTTGGTGCTTTGGAAAATAGTTTGACCCCCCTTCATCTTTGTAGGAGCCCCTCAAATATTGGAACACTGCTATTGTGTCATCCCTAGTCCTTCTTTTCATCAGACTACACACCCCCAATTCCTGCAACCGTCCTTCGTATGTTTTATCCTCCAGCCCAGTAGTGGTTTCAATTTAGTTTGCTACCGGTTCGCTCGTGTGCTCTCGCGCATGCACAAAGCATCCGGGTTGGTGGGCGGAGCCTCCCACCGCCGCCACCAGTTTGCCCGATCCGGGACGAACCGGTAGCAACCACCACTGCTCCAGCCCCCTAATCATTCTTGTCATTCTTGTACTTTTCTATGTGTGTTAAGCACTTCCTCTCTTTAATTTTTCTGTAGGCACACTTAAGGCTTTTATGCATATCCTCAGGTTGTGCTTGAGAAAATAATCATTTATTCTCTCTTCCAGCCTGCAATAATATATTGGAAGCTTTATCCGGCATCTTGGTACCCTGGCAGAAGGATTTCATAGCATTGATAGCAGCCATGTGCCATCTTGTGTTCGCATAGGAACATTTCAACTTCATTTCTAATTTTTCTTTTTGGGGGGGGGGAGTATTTGGTCCAGCTGCCGTTTTATCATTGTGATGGAATGCAGCAGGGGTGAAATGCTCCCGGTTCGGACCAGATTGTCCGATCTGGTAGCGATGGAGGCGGGTGGTTCGGAGAACTGGTAACAAAAATCCCTGCCCCCCTGCATTGCCCATTGAGCTGCGCAATCATCAGAGCCTTTTTTTCTAATTTTTAAAAGCATTTTTTCTACAACCTCTTTGGCCGAAAAAAAAATTACTTTTAAAAGTAAAAAAAAAAAAGCCTCTGATGATCGTGCGGCTCAGCTGGGATCATCAGAGGCTTTTAAAAGCATTTTTTCTACAACCTCTTCAGCCGAAGAGATTATAGAAAAAATGTTTTTAAAAGGAAAAAAAGCCTCTGCCGATCAGGCAACTCAGCTGGGATCGTCAGAGGCTTTAAAAGCATTTTTTTTACCACCTCTTCAGCCGAAGAGGTTATAGAAAAAATTGGTTTTAAAAGTAAAAAAAAAAAAAAAGTTGGCCACGCCCACTCAGTCATATTACCCCCCCAAGCCACGCCCACAAGAACCGGTAGTAACAAATTTTACATTTCACCACTGGAATGCAGGTAGTCTTCGACTTATGACCACAATTGAGCCCAAACTTTCTACTGCTAAACCAAACATTGGTTAAGTGAGTTTTGTCTCATTTTACAACCTTTCTTGCCAGAGTTGTTAAGGGAATCACTGCACCTGTTAAGCTAGAAACACAATTGTTAAGTGAATCTGGTCTTTGCTTGTCAGAAGGTCATAAAAGGGGATCACGTAACCCCGGGGCACTGCGACCATCATAAATATGAATCGGTTGCCGAGAGCCTGAATTTTGATCACGTGATCACGGAGAGGCTGCAACGGTCACAAATGTGAAAAAACGGTTGTTAGTTCCGCTGTAACTTCAAATGGTCATTAAGTGAGCTCCTGTAAGTCGAGTTCGGGTTTGCTTAAAACAAAAATGGGGAAAATATTGAGAATATTGAAATACATAAAATACACGTATTTTAGTTACTAAAGTGTAACTCCAAAGCTGGAGGCAGAAGTGGTGTATAAAAACTCAGAGTGGGGTGGAACGGAGTCTGGATTCCCAGAAGGGAGGGGCTGCATTCCAGAGGTCAAAGAAGCAAGGAAGCAAGTAAAGATTGGTAGGATGGGAGAGGGTTAAATCGGTTCCTGCTAATGATTCTCACAGTACATCTGTAGTTATGCAAATGAGTGGTGCGGTGGCCTAGAGAGTGAAACTCTCGCCTCACAAACAGGAGGCTGTGAGTTTGATCCTAGGTAGAGGTAGATGTTTCTCTCTCTGGACACAATGAGAATATATCTGCTGAGGAAAGCTCCGCATTGGCAACAGGAAAGGCATCCGGCCAGTCAACACTCAGCTCCATTCAATTGCCCAGACTCCATTCCGCAAAGGAATTATGGGGTCATTAAAGGAAGATAATGATCTGTAGTTATGCAAATGCCCTTGAATTACAACAGTGCATTTAGTGACCCTTTGAAGTTACAACGGCACCAATTCTCAGTGCTGCAACTTCCCCATGGTCATGTTATCAAAATTCAGACCCTCGACTCATATTTATGACGATTGCAGTGTCCCGGGGGGTCATGTGATCACTTTTTGCGACCTTCTGGCAAGCAAAGCCAAAGGGGAAGTCAGATTCATGTTACTAACTTAACAACTGCAGTGATTCACTTAACAACCATAGCAAGAAAGGTCATAAAACGGGGCAAAACTCGCCTAACAACTGTCTTGCTTAGCAAGAGAAATGTTGGGCTCAATTGTGGACCCTGGGTCTCTGCAACCGTCATAAATATGAGTCAGTTGCCAACTTTGATCACGTGACCATTGGGGACGCTACAACGGTCGTAAGCGTGAAACACAGCAATAAGTCACTTTTTTTGGGGGCGCCGTTGTAACTTCGGTCACTAAATGAATATTTGCAAGTTGAGGAGTACTGTTCTGCCTCAGCTACGGACCCCAAAGAACGCAGCACACACAAAGTCTGTACAAACCTTAGTTTACTAAATTAAATCAGTCTTTTTGAAACAAAGGCTGTTAATTAACTTTCTTAACAGCCTACAAGAATCCAAAGAATAAATAATCGTAATCTTACTATGGTTGGCAGAAAGCCCAGAAGCAATTTGCAGGAAACTGATAAGAGAACTAAGATCAGGACACATAGGAGAGTGAATGAAGTTGTTCCCTGCAAATTGCCTCAGTCGTCGTCCTTCCTTAAATAAGCTAAGGGAGTGGCCAATTAGCCCCAAGCCTTACTCTTGAGGAGACTTCCTCCTGAGGAGCCACTCCTGCCTTTTGGCAGCTCTGCGCGCCCGTGCATTGAGAAGAGGCTCCTCTTCTTCGTCCTCTTCACTTAAGGGAGCTTCTGGAGGTTCTGAAGGCCCTGGCTGAATCTCCGCCTCTGGCACCACATCTTCTCCAGCCTCCTCAGTGTCTGACTCGAGTGCCAGCTGCACAGGCTGCTGGCACAGCACCACACCAGCCTCCTCGCTGTCGGAATCAGCTACTAGCT